CAATTGAGGGAGCTCGACGTGGCTGAGGAACTCATCTATGGAAGCGTGTGTCGGTTGGGGTACCATGGGGTCGTCTTTTAAGTTGTATAAATTGGAGTAGAAGGACGCTAGCGTGTTTACAATATCGTTGGGATTGTATAATTTGGTAGCGTGCGGGGTTTCAATGAAGGGGATTTTCGACTGGAGGCGCTGGTCTTTTAGCTTATTGGCCAATAGTTTACCCGCTTTGTTGCCTTGTGTGTAATGTGTCAGTCTAAGGGCTCTCATTCTTCTTTCTATTGTCTGTAAAGAAATGGAATTTAAGCTCCTCTGCAATCGGGCAACGGTTTTGGCTAATTTAGTGGAGGGGTTTGGTTATTCAGCTTTTCGGCCTCTGTGAGTTCGAGGGTCACCTGCCTTGTCTCCTTGTTCTGTTTCCTTTTTTTACGGGACCCGATTTGAATTAGTACCCCCCTGACCACGGTTTTGTGAGCTGCCCATTGGGATTGTATGGGGACTTCCTCAGTCATATTTTCCTTAAAATAATTGGTTGCGGATTCAAGAACAGTTTGCAGCGACGTGGGGTCATCTAGAAGACTTTCGTTAAGTCTCCAGTTTCCTCTCCCTCGGATTGGGTATAGGCTACTAAGGGTGACGGATACCGGGGCATGATCTGACCACGTCCTAAGCCCTATATCCACTTCAGTTATGTTTGTTAAGGTTAGTTTGTCTACCAGTGTGAGGTCAATGCGTGAATAGGTTGAGTGGATTGGGTGAGAAATACGAGTAGTCTCTACCCGTTGGGTACATGTTACGCCAAGAATCATATAAGTCTAGTTCGAACATAATGTCGGACAAGGCTTTGCCATTATTGTATGCGGGGGGGATAGGTTTCTTATTGTTCACCCGTTTAATGTCCAAGTTGGGGTCTGGGCTGCAATTGAAGTCCCCACAGATTTTGACCTGTCCTCGTTTCATTGAATCTATCTTTTTAAGTGCACTGCGTAAGAAGGGAATTTGGCCGTCGTTAGGGGCATAAAAGGACGATAGGGTTACATCGGTGCCATTGAGCGAGCCCGCCAATATCTGGAGGCGCCCCGCCGCGTCTGCATACGTAGCGCATGGTTGGAATGCCCAGTCCGCGTGAAATAGAATGGAAACCCCTTTAGACTTGTTTGGGGAGTATGCGTGGAAGGCTTGGGGGTATCGCTTGGTGTGGAACTTAGGGGGGTTGTTGACACACAAGTGTGTTTCTTGAAGACATATCACTGCAGCTTGTGATTTGTGCATATCTCTAATTGCTAGGCTGCGTTTGTGTGGACTATTCAGGCCTTTGACGTTCAAAGAGAGGATTTTAAACATGTTTTGGGTCATTTGAGGGCATGAACTTTATATCTGATGAGTACACCCGTATCATTGGTATTTGTAGAAGTGGGGGACATGATCCCCTTAGGGCACTGGGCTAGTCCTCCTAGCTGAGTACGAAATGTTATCGATTTTGGATTGTGTCTGAGGAAGGGGCGGGAGAGAAGCGAACCAGGGAAGAATTGGGGAACCAGGGGAAAAAACATATCGTCCCTGCTTCGAGCAGGGTTTACCAGGGCCTCCATCAGGGCATGACAACCGTGACAATTGTCACGGGCCCGGCGGCCCTGGGGGGCCCGGCCGCCCGGGCCCCACGTGGATCAGCGGAACTGCCGCCGGTGCATCTGCACCGGGGCCCACACGCTGATGGGGCCCATCAGGTGGCCCCAATCATTTAGGGCCACCCAATGGGCCCTATTATCTTCTTTAAAAAAAAAAAAATGCAGCCGGAAGCAAGTGCTGCTGAGAGGAAGTGACGTCCGGTCACTTCCTCCCACTTTACTCCGCGCGGGAAGGAGGACGCAGCCTGAAGAGAGGCAGCCGATGCCCATCATCCCCAGCCACCCTCCTGCGACGAAATGGTAAGGAAGAGAGGAGGGTGGCTGGGGATGAAGTGTATGTGTGTATGCCAGTGTATGTGTGTGTGTATGCTGTGTCTGAATGCCTGAATGCCAGTGTATGAATGCCAGTGTATGTGTGTGTATGCCAGTGTCTGAATGCCAGTGTATGTGTGTGTATGCCAGTGTCTGAATGCCAGTGTAGTGTATGAATGCCAGTGTATGTGTGCCATGTATGCCATTGTGTATGCCAGTGTATGTGTGTGCCAGTGTGTATGTGTATGCCAGTGTGTGTATGCCAGTGTATGTGTGTATGAATGCCAGTGTATGTGTGTATGTATGCCAGTGTGTGGATGCCAGTGTATGTGTGTGTGTATGCCAGTGTCTGAATGCCAGTGTATGTGTGTCTGAATGCCAGTGTGTGTATGCCAGTGTGTATGAATGCCTGAATTCCAGTGTATGTGTGTCTGAATGCCAGTGTATGAATGCCAGTGTGTGTATGCCAGTGTATGTGTGTGTGTATGCTGGTGTATGAATGCCAGTGTATGTGTGTGCCAGTGTGTGTATGCCAGTGTATGTGTGTATGAATGCCAGTGTGTGTATGCCAGTGTATGAATGCCAGTGTATGTGTGTGTGTGCCAGTGTATGAATGCCAGTGTGTGTATGCCAGTGTATGTGTGTGTGTATGCTGGTGTATGAATGGTGTATGCCAGTGTCTGAATGCCAGTGTATGTGTGTCTGAATGCCAGTGTGTGTATGCCAGTGTATGTGTGTATGAATGCCAGTGTATGTGTGTGTGTATGCTGGTGTATGAATGACAGTGTATGTGTGTGTATGCCAGTGTCTGAATGCCAGTGTATGTGTGTGTGTATGCCAGTGTCTGAATGCCAGTGTATGTGTATGTATGCCAGTGTGTGTATGCCATTGTGTGTGTGTGCCAGTGTGTATGCCGGTGTATGAATGCCAGTGTATGCCAGTGTGTGTATGCCAGTGTATGTGTGTATGAATGCCAGTGTATGTGTGTATGTATGCCAGTGTGTGGATGCCAGTGTATGTGTATGTGTGTATGCCAGTGTCTGAATGCCAGTGTATGTGTGTCTGAATGCCAGTGTGTGGATGCCAGTGTGTATGAATGCCAGTGTATGTGTGTGTATGCTGGTGTATGAATGACAGTGTATGTGTGTGTATGCCAGTGTCTGAATGCCAGTGTATGTGTATGTATGCCAGTGTGTGTATGCCATTGTGTATGCCAGTGTATGTGTGTGCCAGTGTGTATGCCGGTGTATGAATGCCAGTGTATGTGTGTATGTATGCCAGTGTGTGGATGCCAGTGTATGAATGCCAGTGTGTGTGTATGCCAGTGCATGTGTGTATGTATGCCCATGTATGCCAGTGTATGTGTGTGTGTATGTATGCCAGTGCGTGTATGCCAGTGTGTGTCTGTATGCATGCCTGTGTGTGTCTATGTATGTATGTATGCCTGTCGGTATGTATGTATATATCAATATGCAGTATGTATATGTATGTTTGTCAGTATGTATGTCTGCTTGTATATGTGTGTGTGTCTCAGCATCTCCCTATGCATGTGTGTATGTCTGTTTCAGTATTTGTATCTGTTAGTGTGTGTATTCCTGTGGGCGGGATTTGGAGGCAGGCTTGAAGGGGGGCCCAGACCTTGAGCTGTGTTAGGGGCCCCAAAATTTCTGATGGCGGCCCTGGGGTTTACCTCCGAGTCCGTGTAAGGCTGAGCCTCACTCTTCTTTGGCATGGGGGACGTGGAGTAGCCTCCACCGATTAAGGCCCTAGGGTTTACTTGCAAAAATGACCATTGTGTGGGAATCCAATAATTGCTCTCCTGATGTGGACTGTGTCCTGTTATCAATATGGAGCGATTAATTAATAAAAAAAATTTATTTTTTATTTTTTACTGTATTTATATTATCAGGGCATTTCACAGAACTTGTTATTTGCTGCCTTGCGAGTGAGGGGTGGTCTGTAGCCCCAACCTGCATTCCCCGTGGGGGGAGGGGGTTTCATCCCGGGTTTTCGTCTAACGATTTATACTTGGGGCTGTTGTGCCTGCTTATCTGTGTGGGGTTCCCTGAGGGTATGCAGGTCCCCTCCAGGATCTCTCACCCTTGGAATGATCTGGCTCCATGCATTGGCCCCCGAGCGCGGCAGCCGATGCGGCTTACTGATGGCCCCCCCCCCTTCCTCCTAGCAGGTGCCAGGTCCTTAATGGGTCTGATATATCTCGGCAGACTGGAATATAAAGCAGTAACCAGTAACATTTGCATTTCAACAAATAGGGGTAATGTAACTAAACGCGTACCGTTTAATGAGTATTGTGCTCAGCGGGATAATGGGATTGCTGGGAAGTTGTAATTCCCGCGGCATAAAATTGTGGGGAATATTGCCCATCTGTGTGAGGGATTTAACGTGAACTGATTGTGAGCTAACCAGTTGAACCCACTAGTGCAAACCCACCTAGGAAACATAATATCGCATAGCACAATAAACAGGACAATTGGTAATACTTATGTGCCAGGAGTGCAGGCAATCTCCAGTTAAATGTTCATATTAGTCCTGACTTTGAGAGCCAGCGGCGGCCCCCACCATCCTCCACTCTGGCATGATCTTCGACGGAGAGTTGTGGGCTGGGACGGTCTGCCCTTGCGCATGGTGTAGCCCCCACTCAGTTTCGCCATGCCCGCCTCCGGATCCAAAATTGGGACGGATCTGTCCCGGTACCATACCAGCAGTTTCGTGGGGTATCCCCACCGATAAGGTATGTTGTGGTTCCATAGAGTCTTGGTCACATTCACGAATTACCGTCTCCTCGCCATCGTTGTCGCGGAAAGGTCAGCGAATATTTGGATGTGCTGGTACGGTTCTGGTAACTTGGTGAGTTTTCTAGCCGCGTTTAGTAGTTGCTCCTTGGCGGTATAATGGTGCAATCTGGCTATGGTATCTTTAGAGGTATCAGCTGTAAAGCGGGCCGGTCTTGGGAGTCTATGAACGCGGTCCATCTCCCAGGCGGCATCGTCCACCTGCGGGGCCAAGAGTTTGCAGAGGGTTTTGAGGTGGAGAGGGAGTGCCTCATTGGTGACAGCGTAGTTGATGCCCCTGAAACGCAGGTTGTTCAATGTCTGCCAGTTTGACTTTAAGGGACTTTTGTTCCTCTTCTAGACTTTGCAATTTGTCGACCAACTCGTTGTGGGCTGCACAGATCTCTTCCGTTTTCGTTTCTAGGTGGCTAGTGCGGCCTCCTAACTCGGCAATTTCCTTCCTCAGCTCGTTGGTATATTGGCGGTCGGACCAGAGCGAGCTCTTTAAGACCTGCAACATTGTGTGGAGGCTCTTATTAGTGACCAGCTCTTCATCTGGCGTTTGTGGGTCACTATCTGGGGCCTCGTGGCGTTCTGGTGATGTCGGATGGACAGCATGGCCGTCGCCATCTTGCGCCGGCCTCGCTTTATCTTTTTTATTCTGTCTCACCGGGTCGGTGATTTTTGTTTGCTTGGAGGGTGCCATGTCACAGTCGGGCTCTGTACCCGTTGTTTTTACGCGTTTTCGTCTGGGTTACCGTCGCTAATGTGTCGCTTTGGGCCTGGTGGAACACGGAGCGATCGCTACATGCGACTTCTCCTCTCGGCAGTTGGCCACGCCCCCTCCTAAAATCTTCTTTTTGATGCTCTTTATACATTAAAGATAAACACTTGGCTGGATTTGAAGGGATTTAATTTATTATGCACTGCCTGGCCAAAAAAAAAGTCGCCATAAAAAAAAAAAAAAAGTCGCACACTCTAATATTCCGTTTGACCACCTTTAGCTTTGATTGCAGCACGCATTCAATGTGGCATTGTTTCAATAAGCTTCTGCAATGTCACAAGATTTATTTCCATCCGGTGTTGCATTAATTTTTCACCAAGATCTTGTATTGACGATGGGAGAGCTGGACCACCTAGCAAAGCCTTCTCCAGCACATCCCAACAATTCTCAATGGGGTTAAGGTCTGGACTCTGTGGTGGCCAATCCATGTGTGAAAATGATGTCTCATGCTCCCTGAACCACTCTTTCACAATTTGAGCCCAATGAATCCTGGCATTGTCATCTCTGAATTTGCTCATGCCATCAGGGAAGAAAAAATCCATTGATGGAATAACCTTGCCATTCAGTATATTCAGGTAATTAGCTGACCTAATTCTTTGGGCACATAATGTTGCTGAACCTAGACCTGACCAACTGCAGCAACCCCAGATCATAGCACTGCCCCCACAGGCTTGTACAGTAGGCACTAGGCAAGATGGGTGCATCACTTCATCTGCCTCTCTTCTTACCCAGATGCGCCCATCACTGGTGGTTCCCCACTATCCTTCCAGTTTTAATAATACATTGGACAGTTCTTAACCCAATTTTAGTAATTTATGCAATCTCCTTAGATGTTTTCTCTGCTTAATATATGCCAATGATTTGACCCTTCTCAAACAGACTAACATCTGGCCAAAACTGGCGTTCAAGTTAGTTTTTTTTGCATTTTTCACACAAAAACTAATATTAACACTAACTTTGGCCAGTGTTTGTGACCAAGTGGCTACTAAAAAAGAATAGACATCCCCCATTTGCAATACCTTGGATTGTCTACTTTTGTAAATGGTATGCCATCATGGGGGTAATTCTCATTCCTGGTCTACAATACGGTCTCAAGGGCAACGTAACCAATCTGGCAAATTTCATGTGAAAAAAACTGAAAAATGGAACATGCTATATTTGACCCTGTAACTTCCCAAAACACCATAAAACCTTTACTTAGGGGGTACTGTTTTACACGTGAGACATCACTGAATACAAATATGTGTTTTTTATTTCAGTAAAAGCAAACAGTATTATGACATTCACAATTAAATTGTCTTGAAGAACTAAAAACATTTTAGAAATTCATATTTTCTCCCATTTTTTATATTTTATTCATATTAAATTATGTTTCATACCTAAATATTTGATGTTAAATGAAAGCCCTGTTTCCCCTGAATAAAATAATATATATTAAGTGTGGATGCACATAATATGAAAGAGGCGAATTACGCCTGAACAGACATATAGCGCAAATTCAAGTTTTTGTTTACGTTTTGTTTTGATCACAACGTGTACATTTGGCTCAGTCCTTAGGGGTTAAATGTTTTGTAAAGCTAACAGCTGTAACAATCAGATATCTTAATAATGATATCATGCTTAGGTGTTTTGAAGCAGAAAAGTTAAACTACTGCAGGATTGGCATGAAGACTATACTGATATAGCTGTATTATCATAAAGAAAAAAAAAATCCTTGCTATGTCTCCATAGCAAGGGTTAACTATCATACCTTACTTCCTTTAATAGCTGCCAGAAATGTCTATTTTAGCGCAGGTGTAATTGTGCCAGATTGTTTACATTATCTGCCTGTTTAAACCTGGTGTTGTAGCAGACCATGGTTTGATTATTGTGTCTTACCTTGGTCTGTTTGCATGTGTATAACATTGCCTTTCAGACTCAGTTCCTAAGGGACCTGACACTTCCAAGTTCTCGGGTCTCTGACCTCGACTATGTTACCCTGGCTTTACTCCTGGATCTCTCCATTGTACCACTGCCTACGTTTGGATGGACTCCTTGGTACTTGAATCGGCTTCTGGTTGCTGACAATTGCTAACTGCATGGCTCTGTGATATTTGTTACTGCTTTTGTTGTTGCTCAGTTCTCCGTTCAGTGTGTGCTAAGCATGCTTAGTTTTGGCTAAAGCCCTCCTTCAAACTCTGGTACTGCCTTGATCTATTATTGGGCAATATGCACTGTCTACTCAATTCCTCAAGTGATGTTTAAACTGTGCAGTGTGTCTTTAAAACATGCTCACTATTGAACAACCTTTCTGTGATGGTAACACTTGGCTGGATTTGAAGGGATTTAATTTATTATGCACTGCCTGGCCAAAAAAAAAGTCGCCATCAAAAAAAAAAAAAAGTCGCACACTCTAATATTCCGTTTGACCACCTTTAGCTTTGATTGCAGCACGCATTCAATGTGGCATTGTTTCAATAAGCTTCTGCAATGTCACAAGATTTATTTCCATCCGGTGTTGCATTAATTTTTCACCAAGATCTTGTATTGACGATGGGAGAGCTGGACCACCTAGCAAAGCCTTCTCCAGCACATCCCAACAATTCTCAATGGGGTTAAGGTCTGGACTCTGTGGTGGCCAATCCATGTGTGAAAATGATGTCTCATGCTCCCTGAACCACTCTTTCACAATTTGAGCCCAATGAATCCTGGCATTGTCATCTCTGAATTTGCTCATGCCATCAGGGAAGAAAAAATCCATTGATGGAATAACCTTGCCATTCAGTATATTCAGGTAATTAGCTGACCTAATTCTTTGGGCACATAATGTTGCTGAACCTAGACCTGACCAACTGCAGCAACCCCAGATCATAGCACTGCCCCCACAGGCTTGTACAGTAGGCACTAGGCAAGATGGGTGCATCACTTCATCTGCCTCTCTTCTTACCCAGATGCGCCCATCACTTCCCCACTATCCTTCCAGTTTTAATAATACATTGGACAGTTCTTAACCCAATTTTAGTAATTTATGCAATCTCCTTAGATGTTTTCTCTGCTTAATATATGCCAATGATTTGACCCTTCTCAAACAGACTAACATCTGGCCAAAACTGGCGTTCAAGTTAGTTTTTTTTGCATTTTTCACACAAAAACTAATATTAACACTAACTTTGGCCAGTGTTTGTGACCAAGTGGCTACTAAAAAAGAATAGACATCCCCCATTTGCAATACCTTGGATTGTCTACTTTTGCAAATGGTATGCCATCATGGGGGTAATTCTCATTCCTGGTCTACAATACGGTCTCAAGGGCAACGTAACCAATCTGGCAAATTTCATGTGAAAAAAACTGAAAAATGGAACATGCTATATTTGACCCTGTAACTTCCCAAAACACCATAAAACCTTTACTTAGGGGGTACTGTTTTACACGTGAGACATCACTGAATACAAATATGTGTTTTTTATTTCAGTAAAAGCAAACAGTATTATGACATTCACAATTAAATTGTCTTGAAGAACTAAAAACATTTTAGAAATTCATATTTTCTCCCATTTTTTATATTTTATTCATATTAAATTATGTTTCATACCTAAATATTTGATGTTAAATGAAAGCCCTGTTTCCCCTGAATAAAATAATATATATTAAGTGTGGATGCACATAATATGAAAGAGGCGAATTACGCCTGAACAGACATATAGCGCAAATTCAAGTTTTTGTTTACGTTTTGTTTTGATCACAACGTGTACATTTGGCTCAGTCCTTAGGGGTTAAATGTTTTGTAAAGCTAACAGCTGTAACAATCAGATATCTTAATAATGATATCATGCTTAGGTGTTTTGAAGCAGAAAAGTTAAACTACTGCAGGATTGGCATGAAGACTATACTGATATAGCTGTATTATCATAAAGAAAAAAAAAATCCTTGCTATGTCTCCATAGCAAGGGTTAACTATCATACCTTACTTCCTTTAATAGCTGCCAGAAATGTCTATTTTAGCGCAGGTGTAATTGTGCCAGATTGTTTACATTATCTGCCTGTTTAAACCTGGTGTTGTAGCAGACCATGGTTTGATTATTGTGTCTTACCTTGGTCTGTTTGCATGTGTATAACATTGCCTTTCAGACTCAGTTCCTAAGGGACCTGACACTTCCAAGTTCTCGGGTCTCTGACCTCGACTATGTTACCCTGGCTTTACTCCTGGATCTCTCCATTGTACCACTGCCTACGTTTGGATGGACTCCTTGGTACTTGAATCGGCTTCTGGTTGCTGACAATTGCTAACTGCATGGCTCTGTGATATTTGTTACTGCTTTTGTTGTTGCTCAGTTCTCCGTTCAGTGTGTGCTAAGCATGCTTAGTTTTGGCTAAAGCCCTCCTTCAAACTCTGGTACTGCCTTGATCTATTATTGGGCAATATGCACTGTCTACTCAATTCCTCAAGTGATGTTTAAACTGTGCAGTGTGTCTTTAAAACATGCTCACTATTGAACAACCTTTCTGTGATGGTAGTCACCATCACCAAGAGCTTAAAATGGACAATTCAATTTGGTATCTGAATGAGTCCTATGTTTAAAGGATCACTATAGGGTCAGAAACACAAACATGTATTCCTGACCCTTTAGTGTTAACACCATCATCTAGCCCCCCTTGGCCCCTCATGCCTCCATTAATATATAGCAAAATCTTACTGTATTCAAGCCTAAAGCTGTAACTCTGCATGCTGTTAGACTCAGAAAAACAAGAAGTCTGCTGACGTCATTAGAAGTGGTGGCCTGATCCAATTACAGTGCTTCCCCATAGGATTGGCTGAGACTGACAAAGAGGCAGATCAGGGGCAAAGCCCGCATAATTCCAACACAGCCCTTGCCAATCAGCATCTCCTCATAGAGATTAATTGAATCAATGAATTTCTACGAGGAAAGTTCAGTGTCTGCATG